CGCTGCGCGGTGCCCCCACGCAGACACACAGCCAAGCTTGTGAGGTGCATGCCATTTAGCTCCATTTAAAAATATATATATATTTTATTGATTTTTTTACAGAGAGGAAAAGAGAGGGACAGAGAGTCAGAAACATTGATCAGAGAGTCATTGATCAGTTGCCTCTTGCACACCCCCTACTGGGGATGTGCCCACAACCAAGGTACATGCCCTTGACCGAAATCGAACCCGGGACCTTTCAGTCCTCCAGCCAACGCTCTATTCACTGAGCCAAACCGGTTTCAGCTAGTTCCGTATTTTTAAAGCATCATTTCCAAGTCTTTTCATGTCATAAAGAATAGCGTTAAAATGGCAACAAAACCACCGACCGCCGTGACTCAGAAAGCCTTGCTTTTCCCGCTCATCCCAGCATGGCCGACAGTTCAAGGCCGTTAGCAACCCTCTCTCTGTCCAAGCAGGAAACGTCAGCATTATGCTGAACTAAGACCAAATGAAATAATTAAAACAGATAACTAAGGCCACCCATCTGTCTCGTACCCCAACCCCAAATCTGCTCAAAATCAAAGAGAAAAAACATCCCCTGAGCTACAGCCCAGGACCCCGTGAGGGAGGTGAGGGCTAAGGTCCGTCCTTCCTTCCAACCTACAACATAACGTGGTCCCCGAGCAGCTAATGCTCAGGTCAGATTTCTGTGGTTATGGTTGTAACCAAACCACAACAGCCCTCCCCCCCTTCAAACCTGCCCCGGAGGCATTTTGAGAAGAGAGAACGAACAGTGCTCTTTGAACAGGGTTCTCCAGTTGCATAACATTACAGAAATGTGAACCGCTCACACAGAAGGTGATGAAGGTTTTGTCTTGCTGAGACAAAAAACTATTTCCTCCTTCAGTTGTAGAACGCGACAGGTTGAAGATGGAAAGGCCAGAGCACGGAACGCCTCCTCTAACACTCTTCCCGGCTGGGCACTGCCCTCCCCTGCGTCCCACTGCCCTCCCACTGCCCACCTGGCCAGAAAGCACCCTGCTCGCCCAGGCTCAGAAAGCGGGGCTGGGCTCCTCCTGTCATCTGGCATAAGGCCCACGAAGAGTGTTCTCCTGGGTCGTACCAGAGGTGTCCAAGCTCTCTTTGCTTCCCTTGCGTGTGTGAGATGACCAGGTTCAGGCACGGGGCCGTTCTCATTCCTGTAACGCGGGGTTTGCGTTTCCCATGGACGCCAGCAAGCACACCGCAGCACCCAGGGGAGACCAACGGCCACAGGCCCACCAGACACACCCGCCGTCTATGGCGCCCCCATATCCCATGCGAGCCCCACCCCCGGCCAAGCAGTCTCTTAGAATTATCCAGAATACTGCAACTGCTTCCCAGCTCTTCTCCCTGCTTCCAATATCATCACTGTTCCACCTCCCTCGCCCGCCAAAGAAATCTTTTTAAAAACACAAATTATGTCGTATCATCCCCTTTGTAAAACCTTTCAAGGGGCTCGCCATTGCGTTCAGACTACAATTAAAATAATCTGTGTGGTCTGAAGATCTCCCTGCTTCCACGCTTATCCCCCATTATCTCACCTCAACCCAGCAGCCAGAGTGATTTAGGCCAGTGGTCGTCAAACTCATTAGTCAACACACCCAAATATCAACAGTATAATGATAGAAATTTCTATTGAGAGCCAAATTTTTTAAACTTAAGCTTCTTCTAACCCCACTTCTTCAAAATAGACTCGCCCATGCTGTGTATGTTGTGGAAGAGCCACACTCAAGGAGCCAAAGAGCCGCATGTGGCTCACGAGCCGCAGTTTGTCAATCACCGATTTAGGCCATGCTATTCCTCCGCTCCCTCCAGTGGCTCCCAACTAGCTCACAGCCTCCACGGGGGCCACAAAGGCCCTATACAATCCACCAACCCATCACCTGGGCCCACCTAGTACCACTCATCCACCCATCACCTAGGGCCCACCTAGTACCATTCATCCACCCATCACCTGGGGCCCACCTAGTACCACTCATCCACCCATCACCTGAGGCCCACCTAGTACCATTCACTCCACCCATCACCTGGGGCCCACCTAGTACCATTCATCCACCCATCACCTGGGGCCCACCTAGTACCATTCATCCACCATCACCCGGGGCCCACCTAGTACCATTCATCCACTCATCACCTGGGGCCCACCTAGTACCCCTCATCCACCCATCACCTGGGGTCCACCTAGTACCCCTCATCCACCCATCACCTGGGGTCCACCTAGTACCATTCATCCACCCATCACCTGGGGCCCACCTACTACCATTCATCCACCCATCACCTGGGGTCCACCTACTACCATTCATCCACCCATCACCTGGGGCCCACCTAGTACCCCTCATCCACCCATCACCTGGGGTCCACCTAGTACTATTCACTCCACCCATCACCTGGGGCCCACCTAGTACCATTCATCCACCATCACCCGGGGCCCACCTAGTACCCCTCATCCACCCATCACCTGGGGCCCACCTAGTACCCCTCATCCACCCATCACCTGGGGTCCACCTAGTACTATTCACTCCACCCATCACCTGGGGCCCACCTAGTACCATTCATCCACCATCACCCGGGGCCCACCTAGTACCCCTCATCCACCCATCACCTGGGGTCCACCTAGTACCATTCATCCACCCATCACCTGGGGCCCACCTAGTACCATTCATCCACCCATCACCTGGGGTCCACCTAGTACCCCTCATCCACCCATCACCTGGGGTCCACCTAGTACTATTCACTCCACCCATCACCTGGGGCCCACCTAGTACCATTCATCCACCATCACCCGGGGCCCACCTAGTACCCCTCATCCACCCATCACTTGGGGTCCACCTAGTACCATTCATCCACCCATCACCTGGGGCCCACCTAGTACCATTCATCCACCCATCACCTGGGGCCCACCTAGTACCATTCATCCACCATCACCCAGGGCCCACCTAGTACCCCTCATCCACCCATCACCTGGGGTCCACCTAGTACTATTCACTCCACCCATCACCTGGGGTTCACCTAGTACCATTCATCCACCCATCACCTGGGGCCCACCTAGTACCATTCATCCACCCATCACCTGGGGTCCACCTAGTACCATTCATCCACCATCACCTGGGGCCCACCTAGTACCATTCATCCACCCGTCACCTGGGGCCCACCTAGTACCATTCATTCCCACCCAAGCTCCTTTCTCATCTCACTTCAGTCTTGGCTCAAATGTCACTTCCTTGGTGAGGCTTCACGGACCACGAAGAGACAGAATGCTTTTCCATGCCCACACTCTCTACCTCACTCCCTTTCCTGCCTGATTTATTTTTCTCTTGACAGCACAGCCACATGTGCCATGACAAATTCTAGCAGTTTATTTGTTAACTAGAAGCCCGGTGCAAGAATTCATGCATGGGTGGGGTCTGGCCAGCCTGCCCCATGGGGCCCATCAGGCTGGGCTGGAAAGGACCATGGTTGGCTGGCTGACCAGCCCCACCCATGTCTAGGGAGTTGGGACCCAACTGGGGGTGGAGCCATCCAGGGAGTGAGGGCTGATTGGGGCCCGGATCAGGATGATTGGCTGCCACAGTGCATGTCATAGCTACCCGTCATTCAGGTCGCTAGGTTTTTCTATAGATTCCTAGAAAGCTCCATGTAAACTCTGGGAGGATGGCTGTACGGCCTCCGACACTTAGGATGTTGATCTGCTTTATTCACTTTTGTATTCCAAGTGCCTAGAACAGTGCCTGACACAAAACAGGTGCTTCATTAATATTATTGAATGATCTGATCCTGCCTTCCCTGCCGACCTCCCAGATCTCTCCTCCCACTTGCTCCTTCAGCTCCAGCCAGTGCCCTCTCTGTTCCTGCCCCAGGCCACGCTCCGGCCACGCCCATGTCCCTTCAACACCTTCCCTGCCATCTGGAATGCTGCAGCACCAACCCCTCCACCGGGCACTCTCATTTCACACCTGAAACCGCCTAGCTGATTCATGAACCCACTTGTTTATTTTCTGCCTCCACTACTGACCTGGGACCTCCCAACAGAGGCTTTGTGTTGTTCACAGCTGCTTCCCTGGTGCCTGCAACTGCTTGGCACATAGTAGGTGCTGCTCAGTGCATAGTAGGTGCTGTTCAGTAAGTATATTTCAGGTGTAAGCAGCCCAGCCCATGTGGGTCTCCACTTTCCCAAGTATGATAAGAAAGCTGAAGATACTCTGACATCTCTATGTGCTCTTTATGAAATGCTGATTTTACAGTCCGTAGCAAGTATAGTTTGCAAAGAGCCTCACTTATGACAAGTCCTGCAAAGCTCTGGGAGGCGATTTACGGGACTTTATTCAGCTTTTTCATCTGAGAAATTATCCAGCTTTTGCATCTGAGAAAACTGTTTGTTGACTGTGGGTCTGGCCCAAGAGGACAGCCACTAAATGGTGGAGCTGGGTCTGAATTCACAGCTTTCAACGCTGCTACTGTGACAGCAGAATTAAACAGGTTTTTCTTGTCCTTACACCCAGGTTCAAGGAACCACAAATTTGCTGGGAACTAATTCTCGAAACTTCCCATTGTTTTCCCCCGTTTTCCATGAACATGCTGGTCCTGTGAGAATGATCACACAATACAAATGAACTCCTCCGTTCAGGACCGATGAGATTGTTGAACATCTAGATCCGCACTTTAAAATGTTCACTTGTTTCCGCTCGCGGGTGCACCTGAGCGCCTGGGTCGAAGGGAGGAAGCAGTGCGAGGCTGTCCCCGCCCCGGGCAGGAGGACGTGGCTGGGTTTGAGAAGGTCCGGGCCCGGTGCTCCCGGGCACGGTGCGGGGCGCCGCCCTGGCCACTGGCGCTCCGCTCTCCCCCGCCCGCCGCCCCGGCCTCGGCACCGCGGGCGCCGCAGCCCCCACCCCGGCCCGCGGGGCGCGCCATCCCGCCGGCGGCGCGGTCCCCGCAGGGGCCCCGCCCGCCCCGGGCCCGCTCCCCGGACGCCGCCTCACCCGTAGGTGGTCAGCAGCGCCTTGTTGACCAGCACGATGAGGAAGGAGCAGGTGCCGTAGAAGAGCGCCGACAGCAGCCGCGGCAGCCGGCCGGAGGCGGGGTCGCCGTCCGCCTGGCGGGTCATGGCCCGCGCCTGTCCCTCCGCCCGCCGCCCGCCGCCCGCGGCCCCGCTCCGGCCGCCCCACCCAGTTCCGCTCCGCCCGCCGCCCCAGGGCGCAGTCCAAACAGGAAGGGCCCGGCGGGAGCCCCGCGTGTCGGCGCCCCAAAGCCGCTCGGGGGCCGGTGCTGGGAAGCGGTGCGGCACCTGTGCCGGGGCCGCGGGGTGGGGGAGCCTGCCTGCTCCTCGCTCTCTTGCTGAGTTTTCGGGCTGGTGTTACTTTGTGTCTGCAATGCTTCTGCAAGGCAGACTTCACAGGGAGTGAAATGCGGATTTCCGAGGCCACGGGGCAGTGCTTTGGACAAATGCAGACACCACGTCCCCAAAGCGCCCTTGGCCGCCCGCAGGCAACCAGCACCCACTCGGCCGCCCCGGCCGGCTCTCCCTTTCTAAGTCCCGGGCAGGTCCTCTGCGAAGGCTCCCTCCCTCCTTTTCCTTTTGGCGGCTCGCCCACGTTCCTGGTCTTGCCCAGCAGCGCTACAGTGTGCCCACTCGCCAGCTGGGGGCATGCAGGTTGCTTCGTTTAGGACGATGATAACAAAACGTTTCCACATACATTGGTGCGTACAGGTGTCATTTCCGTTCGGAAGGCCCCCCGAGGGGGCGGGGGGAGGCCTGGGCGCGGGAGTGCGGGCTCAGGGCTCCCCGGCTTCAGCGTGCTTCCCGGCGGCTACCACTCCCTCCCAGAACCGCCTGCTCTCGCCAGGACCCACCTGCTTTGGCAATTTTTCAAGTGTCCCATATTTTCATTGTAAATAATTAACTTTAAAAATCTGAAATCTTGGCTTTTAAGAAAAGCTACGTATTTCAACGTAAATATTGGTAAGAACTAAAGCGAACCTTTGGACAAATTACTAGCACTAAAAAAAGCAGCAAGAGTTCACATTACCCAAAACAAGAAAAAAACAACGAAAAAAACAACAACAACACAAGACCATTCTAAAATAGAAAATGAATTCACAGGCAAGTTGAATAACATAATCTGAACTTGAAGTCATTTTGGTTAATTTCCTAAAAAATCAATTAAGTTTCCAGTGAGTCTCCAAATAAGTTTTGACTGCAAAACAGTGAAGTCACTTTTAATGACAGCCTTAACAATATTTGCATTTAATTTGTTTCTATGCCCATACTTCCAAGACTACATCGCTGTTAAAATCTCATTCTTACGTCACAGGTGGAGCGGCAATTATTTTGCAAAGCCCGGGGCTGAGCCTTGCCACTTCCAGTATAGAACTAAAGATATACTAAAGATATCGTATAAATAAGTCATTAAAAATACTAAAAATAAGTCATGAAAAATGCAGAGATTTGCTTGACTCAAGTTCCCCCAGACTCAACACATCCTGAATATAAGGAAAATGAAATCCCATTCCTGATTTCCCTAATGGAAGGTCTACGATAGGGTTGGCAAAACTATGTACACCAGTATACTTTTAACACTAATAATGAACCAGATGAGAAAGATAAATGAATATCTATAACCTAAAAGGCCATCATTTTAAAGTAAGAAAAAGTAATTCATACTATGGTTCCAACTATTGTAAAAAGATGACTGGGATGAGACTGGAATGAATTATAAAATGTATCAAAATAATAAAAGAAGGGCAACAGGTGACATTTCTTTGTAAATCTTTTTAATTTTTTAAATCATGGTTGTTATATTTTTTATAGGAAAACAAATTATAAAGGGTTTAAGAATGAGCATGTACTTTAAACTGTAAATTAAAATTTTATTCAAAGCATCTTTTCAAATTACAGCATGTTTATTTCTTATGCTGTTAATTCTGCCAAACTACAACTTAGCATCTGAAGCATAAAACACTTCAAAAATTTGAATGTAAACCACATTTTTAAAACAAAAAGCAGTCCTAACACACCTCAGATTTTAAATGCTAATGTATTTTGTCCAATTATATAGCTTATATCAAAAAAATCCTTAGCTTACACCCAAGAATCTACTTTTGAAGTTATTATATTTTAAATACTTCTATAGTAAATAGTTGTAATAATTTCTGAAACTTTCAATTATACAAATAAAGAATGTTTGTGAATATAACTATTATAGTTGACAAAAGGTGACCAGAGAAACAAAAACTCTTACCTTTGAAGGCCTTAAATTGTATTATTTTTGGATTGGCAAGTATTTGTATTTTTTTTAAATCTTAACATCTTCCTTCTTTAGGTAATTTCATCAAATTTTAAATTTCCCAAGACTTCTAAGTGTTGCTTTTTATAGTTCATTTAAATGATACTGAAGAGGAAAAATCTAGAGAAAAATGTTGACAACTAAACTAAGAAAATTCAATGCTATATTCTCTTTTACTGTGCCTATAAGTGCTCCAAGTTAAAATTCTATATATCAGATTACAAGCAAAATTCTTAGACCATTACAAATATAAATTTTCTTATTAAAAAAATCCTTCAAGATCTGTAATTTACGGTACTGAGGATTACATTTGTAAAGTATGTCCTCATCATATACATTATTTGTTATCATCTTTCACACTTTTGCTCCTTTTCAAGGCATTTTCTCCCTCCCCTTCCCCTCAGCTACATACGTGAAACTGTGACTGCAACACACTGGAATTTGGGGATAAAGAAGCATATATATCTTAGATAATGTTTAAACCATACCTGTCGGCTACTACTGCAATTCAAAAACGAAGTAAAAGGCGCTGAAGAGCCCAAGTTTCCCTCTATTATTCTGAGGTTTACTCCAATTCAGCAATCCATAAAAATTTCTCTTGTGCATGTTATTTAGTTTCTGCTTAAAACAAAAGCTAAAATGATTGAGGTTTATGCCTACATAAAGGAGGTGAACCGCTCAGCTCTTGATTTTTCTGTCCATGCTTCAGTACATAAAGTGATGTTTAAAAATGTCATCTATTTGGAAAAATGGTTTAAAATCACCCTACAAGTTAACACACATGCGGTTAAAACTATCCCAGAAGCCTATTTATTTGAGTAACTAATCTTTTCTGCAGTGTTTTACTGATAGTTGAATTTAGTGAGCACAAAATAGCTTGGCATGTTATTCTGAAAAGCAAGAAGGTGGTTTTATGCACTGAAAATATAAATAGGCAGCTTTCATTTGCTAATAATTCTAAACAAGCAGTATAATGGAAATTTAGTGTTTGCTAACAAAATATCTAAAACAAGTCACTACAAAACAACCCTGTAGATGTCCCTTTTATTAATAAAAATCCAAGTGCCAAATCTTAGTACAGGGCCCATATTATTAAAAAAAAAAAAATTACCAGGTTACCTAGACTTTGCAAGATTAACCACTCAGTTTCAGCAAATGAGAAATATGAAATGTGCAAAAGTTCCCAAGAGAGGGATAACAAGTGCTTTTCAAAACTAAACATCATAGTAAGTTGTAAAGCCTCAGAAAGATAGAATAAGACCAATTTTACTCCAATTTTAAAAGTTCTGAATTATTATGCATCCTACCAAGATCCTCAAATATCTATTTTTCTTTCAAAATCCGTAACTCAGGACATCTTCTGAAATAGGCAGATTTCCATTTCTCTAGTCTTATTAGTCACACTATTTTGCAATTTAAAAACATCTTACACACATCTTACGCTTTCTCGCTTTCTTCAGTGTTGACAGTATTGTTAAAAATGTTCTTATAAATAATATCTCCTAACCTTCTTTGGCTACGTGTCCCATTCTGTTTTTGTTATTTTTTCCCTAAAAGTGTCTTATTCAGAAAGTGCTTCCTGTGAAAACTGCTTCCAATGAATGCATTAAACTTGCAAAATCTAGCTTCTCACAATACGTAGTTTCCTACCCTGTACTAGAAGTCCCATATTTACAAAATATTTTAAACTTTACAACAATCCATTACCATATAAAAAAAAGTGCAATTCTCTCTCACCCCATATGTTGGGGCAATGACATTCTTCATCAATTTCTACAGAATAGCAGCCTATGGTAAGCAAATAAGGTGCTTAGCTTATGCCCCAGGATCTACTTCTGAAGTATGCTGGGCAGTATTTTGTACAGTGGGAGTCAGTGTGCAGGCTACTGGCGGAGCGGCGCGCCGGTTAGGTTGGCGAGCTCGATGAGGGCGAGGGCTCCGTGCAGGCGCTCGCGCTGCTCCTGCAGCCGCCGCTGGGCCCCCCTCTTCTCATCGTCCTCCTCGTCCGACTGCAGGTATTCCAGAGGGTCCTGCTGCTCCTGGTCCGCCTTCTGCGTGAGCTTTCCTTTCAAGGTGGGGGTGCGCTGCTCTTTCATTTCCCAATACCTACGGGACATGCAACCGCGTGAATCAGAGGGTATGAAGGACAGCATCAAAGGTTTACTTTGCTTGTTTAAAAAATGGCTCTTTACCATGGTATTCAATGCGTTTTAGTTCCAAAAGTTACAAAATAATTTCACGTTTATTATACACCTTTCTCATTACAGAGGAAACAATTCAAGTTCAAGACGTTGAGGGACTTCCTCAGATTTTAAAAAACTGGCAGTTCTGGGTCTCATACTCAATTCTCTAATCACGTGTTTTTGCCATTGAACTATGCCTTAAAGATATATGTCAAATGCACTAAGGTATATAAATAGAACAAATAAACATTAAAAACCTACTTATACTATCTAGAGAGATGGTGACTTCTGAATGAGTTAACTATGAGAAACTTAAAACTTACAAAATATGATTTACAGATTAATATCTGTAACACATAGAACTTATTCAAAAATTTAAGAACACCACACAGTCTGGTCTTGGAAGCAAACCGGGACCCTACAGCCACTCTGGCAGAAGACCTGCCACCACAGCTGCAGACCCAGGGACACCAGGACCCTGGGCATCTGGCCGTGGATTTCTGTGAGTCAAAGCCAATCCCCCTCCCCCGCTGCCCCCGCAGCAGCGACATAGAAACTACCAGACCCCAGCTGCTCAATAAGGCTTTCTGCACACACAAAGCAGTGGCAACTCTGCCTGACTTTGAGCCGTGATGTCAGGCACGGGAAGTTTGTTTCCTGCGAATAGTCACTGCGCCCAGAAAGAAGACTGAGCGGAATCTGAG